CAGCCCATTGGGGCATGGTCTCTCCCTTTAAAAAAAAGCAGCAACTGTCCTCCACTCTGTCTTTGTCTTCCGGCTCCGTTTCCGGCCCCTGGACTCCTTTCCTGTTCGCGCGGAGGGGCTATTGTCTGGGACGGTAATCTATAAGTTTTTTCCCCTTTGAATAAATAACCATTCTATTAATCATAATTCCAAAGTGGTATGGGATTGTCTGTGACTTACGCCTTCAAATGTTAAATGAGAGACAGAAAAAATGAAGCGAAAGAGAGGGAGGCGGGAAGCGAAAGAAGGAAAAAGGCGGGAGGCAAAGGAAAGAAAAAAGAAACCAGAAGGATCATAGACAAGAAATTTGACTAGGGAAAAAAAAAAAAAAAAGGACAGGACTCACACAGATAGGGAGCCTGGGCAACAGAAGATCAAAGACAAATGAAGATGGACAGAGGTACCTCTTGGACAAAGACCAATGTACTATGGCAAGAAAAAGGACATTAGATACCTCTATAGATTTTCTAAAGGACACAGGAACTGAGTACTCTGTGCTAAAGCAACCATTAATACAAACTGGACACCTTACGAACTATAAATTTGGGAAAAGGACTGAGACAAATAAATGACTCGTTCCTCCCTGGTCACCCCTGAATATATATATGATCAAAGCCTTTTGTTGACCAAACGAGGGACTTTTGCTTTCCCTGCTGTTCTCAGTTCTGCTTGCAGGAGATGCAGGCTGCTTATCTGCCTCCACCTTCACCATGCCCTCCTCACCAGGATGACCACCTCCCCCTACCATCACCACCGGAGAAATCCTTGCCTCCTAGCAACTGCCTTGATGCTGCGCTTGCCCTAAAGCCTGCATGAGCCCTGGCTACTCACCCTGCAGTCTTGCTCCCCTCACCCATGTTAGACCGCAATAGAGCACTCACAATGCTACCACAGGTGCCCTCCTGCACTGGGCTGCTGCTCCTGTGCCCTGCTCACATCGATGGACTATGGATCCTACCAGCATCTGCAGAAAGGACAGACGGCTGGCAGAAAGGCAGGCTGAGCAGTGCCAGGCAGAGCCGGAAATGATGACGAAGCTTGCCTGGGGCACAAGGCTGGGGGTCAGAGCCAAGCAGGTATACAAGACTGAAGGTAAGCAGAAGGCAGGGGCAGCAATGATGGATGGGAAGCAAATGCTCTGGGCCAATAGTCTCCCTGAAGGGACACTGACCTGCCCAGAAAGCTGAACTTATGGCTTTGATACAAGCTCTACGATGGCAAAGGGGAACATCTACACTGACAGCAGGTATGCTTTTGCCACCACCCATATACACAGAACAATATATAGACAAAGAGGACTATTGACATTTGCGGAAATTTTGAGCCTCCTCGAGGCCACACATTTGCCAAAGAAGATAGCCAACATACATTGGCCAGGACTGAGACAGCCAATGTAATGGCTAAGAAGATCATAAAAGAAATCTTCCTGGCTTTTGAAACGCCCAAGGTAATCATGTCCGATAATAGACCTGCCTTTGTTGCCCAGGTAAGTCAGGGCATGGCCAAGACACTGGGGATCAATTAAAGATTAAATTATGCTTACCAACCCCAAAGCTCAGGTCAGATAGATAGAATAAATAAAATTCTAAAAGAGAATTTTTACAAATTGACAAAATTGTCCCTAGAGATCGGCAAAAATGACTGGACAGACCTCCCTCCCTCTATCCTGTTTTGGGTTCAAAACACCCCAGGGTGATTTAAACTCACTCTCTATGAGATCCTATGTGAGGGCTGCCACCGCTCACTAAGGCAGATGAGGTACATAATCCTGATGCTGTTCTTCCCAGACTTCATCTGTCCACCTAAAGACCCTCCTGATTGTCCAAGCCCAGGTATGGAAGCCTCTGACTGCTGCCTACCAGCCCGGACACCCAGAGATTTCACATCCGTTGGTGATTCTGTATATGTCTGGAGACATCAGTCCCAGAACCTTGAACCCCGCTGGAAAGGACTCTACACCATGCTCCTGACCACCCCCACGGCGCTGAAGGTTGAAGGAATTGCTGCCTGGATCCATGCATCACACGTCAAAGTGGCCCAGCCGGGACACCTCACTGACAATCAGAACCTAGGATTATCATGGAGGCTCCTACGTTCTCAAAACCCGTTAAAGATAAGACTTGTCAGGGCTTAGCATTGATGATAACCCTGGCCCTCCTTGCTTTAAATGCCAGGGTCTCGGGGAGCCCTCACTTGCCTAAGCAGCTTACCTGGCAGACGATCTCCCAAACAGGAGATATAGTCTGGTCCATTACTGGCTTCCACCCCCTGGGACCTGATGGCCTACCCTTACCCCAGATTTTTGTTCATTATCAGCCTGATATTGACCCACGTCGGTTACCAGTAATAGCCCAGGGAAAAAGATTCTCCCCGGGAGTGCAATTTGGCTATGGAGACCCAAAAAGGAGAGCTAGCCTAGGAAAATTAAATTTTTATAAATGTCTCAAAGTTGAAAGGGATAGGGCCACAGCCCATAGATGCGGAGGACATGAAAGCTTCTATTATGCTACATGGGGTGGTGAGACCACCGGTGAAGCTTCCTGGAAACCTAGCTCCGGCTGGGATTGGATCCGGGTAACTAAGAATTATACTACATGTTCTTCCTGTGCTAAATACGCCATCTGTTTGCCCTTAAATATAGTCTTTACCTCTCCCGGGAAACAATCACAAAACCTTGATAAATGGATAAGAGGCAGGACATAGGGCCTTAGATGGTATTTTTCCAAACAGGATCAAAAACAACGACAGGAAAATTATTTTTACAATTCAACTCGAGATTGAGCAGGCCCCCCATTCAATAGGCCCTAACCCGGTGATGACTGACCCTGAGGCCAGTCAGACCCCAGAGCAAGACGAATGGATATGATTCTATCCATGATAAAACCCAAGGGGGAAATGAAGGGTCCCCCCATGTCCACATACTATGTTAAACTCTGCTGAAACTTAACTGAGCCATAGAAAAAAAGCCCCAAGGCTCAGCTAATGACTGTGCGAAATTTAGCTGGGCCACAGAAGGAAAGTTCCCCGGGCCCAGCCAATGCTAAAACAGAACATCTATGGGTTGCAGACTTGCTGACTAGGCTGAGGAGAGGGAGTACCCCACCTGCAAGGCATTCTATCGAAACTGTCAACTTGCTGCAGGGTTCTCTATCTAGCTTTGTGGCTTTTCGGGGAAATTCGGGAATAGACATGGGGCCATTCCCGGGGTGAGCTAAGCCCACCAATTTGAGAACCACTGAAATGCTTGTTGCTCTGCAGCCTCTTATGTAATTCTTAAATCCCTATAAATACATAATGTGCCTTCAGCCTGGCATGCTCAGTAACTTGGTTGCTGTAGCATCCATAGGCGCCTGTGTATATTCATTAAACTGCCTCTTGTTCTTGCATCCCGTGGACTGGTTCTCGGGCAGAGGGCTCCAAGTGAGACCCCCTTGACTTCTTGGGTCTTTCAGGACCTCCCTTCCTCCCTCCCTCTTTCTTTCTCTCTTTTTCTTCAAGACAGAGTTTCTGTGCAGTCCTGGCTGTCTTAGAACTAGCTCTGTAGTCCAGGCTGGCCTTGAACCCACGGAGATCCACCTGCCCTGTTCCCTGAGTGTTGGGATTAAAGGTGGGAGCCACCTCGCTGCAGCAAGGATGTTTAAATCTGTCTGGGGGATGATCATCTGATTATGCTAATTGATGTAGGAGGAACCAAGTCTAAAAGTGGGTGGTGCCATTTCCTGTTTGTTTGTTTTTGGTTTTTCGAGACAGGGTTTCTCTGTAGCAGCTTTGGAACCTGTCCTGGAACAGGCAGAAAGTGGGCTGAGCACTGGCAAGCATGTTTGGGTTCACTCTCTCTCTGACTGTTTCAAGTTCCTGCTGTTTCAAGTCTGTAATGACAGACTAAGGCCTGAGCCAAGGAAGTCTCTTCCCCTTCAGGCTGCTCCACAGGACAGTGTCACTGCACAGCGACAGGCATGAAGGTCAGACACCTCATGCAAAGGGCTATGCTAAACTTTCTTAATATCTGCTTCCTATTAGCTGTGCTGGTTGGCTTTTGTCAAATTGACGCAAACCTAGACATATTCTAGTAAGAAGGGATATTGAGAAAATGCCTCCATAAGATTTGTCTAGGCAGAGTGGTGCCTTTAGTCCCAGCACTCGCAAGGCAGAGGCAGGTGGATCTCTGAGTTGGAGACCAACCTGGTCTACGGAGTGAGTTCTAGGACAGCTAGAGCCTGTCTTGAAACACAGCCTGGGGGTATTGTCTTGATTAATGACTGATGTGGGAGGGTAGAGTTCACTATTGACAGTGCCATCCTTAGGGGGTGATCCTGGGTTTTGTAAGAAAGCAGGCTGAGCAAGCCATGAGGAGCAAATGTCTCTGTTTCAGTTCCTGTCTCCGTGCTCCTGACTGACTGCCCTCAGTGGTGGGGTGGGACCTGAGAGTTGTAAGGTGAAATCAACCCTTCCTCCCCAAGTTGCTTTTGGTTGTAGTAGCTTTTTTGTTGTTGTTGTTGGGGAATTTTTCAAGACAGGGCTTTTCTGTGTAGCCCTGGCTGTCCTGAAACTCATTCTGTAGACCGCCTCAAACTCAGAGAGCAGTCTCTTCTGCCTCCCAAGTGCTGGGATTAAAGGTGTGCATCACACTGCTCGGTCATGATCTTCTATCGCAGCAACAGAAGTTCTGACTAGACGCTGGTCTATCCTGAAATTCTGTGTGCATATAGTCAGGAATCTCAGCTTCACACGGGCAGAGCTCTGGAGGAACTTTGCAGGCCACTGCAGGCAGCACCGTGGAGCTGGGTCTCCAGTCCACACTACTATCACTGCAACCAAAGCCTAGACAAGCTATCATGGGTCCTGGGCTGGATTGCTCAAGGCAAACACAGGGTAGTGTCCAGGAAGTCACCGCGTCTCCATAACGTTCTGCACGGGCCAACTCTCAGATATGCACAAGAGTTTATTGGCAAAGGAGACAGAAGACACAGGATGTCCCTACCCAATACCAAGTGTCCTGGGACTGGGGAAAGTGAAGTGGTATGTTAGCCCCGAAGCTGCAGCTTCATGGGCTCAGGTGGACCTCAGAAGTCAGGGAGCCTGGAGCAGAGTGAGGGACAGCAGTGGCAGCACCAGAGCAGACCTGACTGCACTGCTGAGGACCATCATGGTCTGGATCCAGTTGTAGTGCTGACTCACGTTGGTGTAGAGGCCAGGCAGGTTGGGCCGCCCACAGCCTATTCCCCAGCTCACGATTCCAATCTGATACCAGAGACCATCCATGTTGCAGACCAAGGGTCCTCCTGAGTCACCCTGAGGAGCAGCATGGGTGAGTAGGTGGGGCTGGGGAAGAGGCCATGGGGACAGGGAGCACCGTGGGGCAGAGGACTGGGTGAGGATCCCCCTCCTCCCCCTGGCAACAGCAGAGCTTCAGCCTCTTTATCAGGAAAGTAGGGCCATAGCTTCTACCACTGAGGGGCTTAGGGATGGAGAAAAATATCGTAAATAGAAAATGAGAGGGCTGGGAGGTTAGGGGCTGTAGGTGATTTGCGTGGATGAACCCTGCGGACAGGTGGATGGCAGACGTGGAGAGAGCCCTCAGGTCTTGGGTGAGGCAGGGTGGGCTTCCTGGAGGGGGAGGGGAGGCACACTCACACCGCAGGTGTCCGCACTGCCATCCTCAGCACCAGCGCAGAACAAGTCACTGTTGTTAAAGGGGTGGAGAGAGGGAATCCTGAGCAGTTCATAGCATCTGCTGGGGTTTAGGATGGTGACCTGCACTTCTCGGAGGTGGTAGGGTGGTGGCAGAGGTTCTGGAAGGAGGAGAGAGACAGAGCACCGTATTAGGGTCTCCTCTACTCTCTGCGGCAGGAGGAGTAGGGAGGACACACCTTCCATGGTAGTGGTGCCCCTGCTGATCACCCCACACCATGGACAATCCATGGACAGAAGGAGCCAGTGGGTAGACAGGCAGATAAGAAGAAGCTTGCATGAGTCTGTTCCTTCTATCTCTGCAGCAGAAGGACCAGCTCCTGAGTGGTCCAGTGGAGAAATTCTGCCCAAGCACAGGTGGGAGGTGCTGGGGATGCTGAGAGAGTTTGAGAATATAGGACCCAATTTACAGGCTTGGTGGCACATGCCTAGGATCTCAGCACTGAGGTGACAGGATTGTGAGTTTCAGGCCAGCCTAGACTACAAAGCAAAACGCTGTCCTAAAATTATTCCCAGGGTTAGGACTGGAAAGTTAAGAGCACTTACTGCTCTTGCAGAGGACCCAGAACCCACATGGAGACTCACAGCTCTCTGTAACTCTATCCTCAGGGGATCTGGTGCCTCTTCTGACCTCTGTCGGCTCCTGTACGCATGTGCACACACATATATACACACTCAGGTACACACACATACACATAAAATAAATGCCTAAGAAACAATCCTAGGCTCATGGGTAAAAGCACCTAAATTCAAGCCTGACAACCTGAGTTCGATCCCCACAGCCCCCGACTATTGTGTTCAGTCCTCTGTGGGTGCCGGATGTGCAGCTGTGCATCCATAATCTCAGCATCCCTGTTTCGAGGTGAGAGGCAGAGAATGCATGGGCCAGCCAGCTCCGGGTACACCTTGCTACAGTAGAAACAAGAAAAATAAACCAGGTGGCGGTGTGCACACCTTTAATCCTAGCACTTGAAAGGCAGAAGCAGAAGGATCTTTGAGTTCAAGGCCAGCCTGGTCTACAGAGTGAGTTCCAGGACAGTCAGAGATGCACAGAGAAACCCTGTCTAAAATTTAACAAAAAAAAAGAAAGGAAGAAAGAAATAAAAAAATACATAACTAGATAGTGCTTTAAAACCCTGATCTCCATTTGTGTGTGCCACAGGATATGTACACGTACACAAAGCTCTCTCTCACACACACACACTAAAGAAGGATCAAAATATTCCTAACGTGGTGAAAGACAAAGGCCGGATTCAGGAAGGTGAACAAGCTCTAAGTGGGACAAGCTCAGAGAAACCCATGCAGAGGCGTCATAAACAGACTGTCAGTGACAAGGCCCTGGGGGCAGGACCCCTGGGCTCCCTGCCCAGTCTGTCTAGTTTATTTGGTGAGTAACCAGGCCAGTGAGAGCTGCTGTCTCAAAGGAGGTAGATGCTGTTCCTGAGAACGACACCTGATTGTCTTCTTCTGGCTGCCACACACATACATACATATGTTTGTTTGTTTGTTTAACACAAACTGTTAAGAGAGAAGTGAGTTGTCAACTTCAGTTCAAGGGGACTTCAAGAGTTAGTTTGCTGCTGAGAAACCATGGAGGCTCCCCACCCAAAAACCACCACCACCACCAAAACAAAACAAAACAAAACAAAACCCAGAATAAATTGGGTGTGTTATAACAAGCTTCTAATCCCAGCATTAAGTAGGGTTGGAGGATCAGAAGTTCAAAGCCATTCTCAGCTAGTATATAGAAAGTTTAGGATCAACTTGGGCTATTTGAGACCCTGCCCCAAAAACAAAACAAGGAAGACAAAGATTAACATGCCACAGACCAAAATTTATGAGAAACAGCAAAAGCAGTTTCAGAAAGAGACTGATAGTTGTCAATGCTTACGTTAATGAAAAGGAAACCACAAACCAACAACTTCCCTTCATATCTAAGAAAATAAGAAAAGAGCAAATTAAATCCAGAGCTGGCCGGGTGGGCAGTGGAGGTACACACCTTTCATCCCAGAACTAGGGAGGTAGAGGCAGGCAGATCTTTGTGAGGTTGAGGCCAACCTGGTCTACACAGTAAATTCAAGGACAGCCAGCTACATAGATTTTATCTTAAAAATAAATCAAATCAAATAAATAAATTAAAGCAAAAAGGACCCTTCCAAGGAGGCCACACCCATGCTCTTTAATTTTTTTTAAAAAAATGTTTATTTATGGTGTGGGAGCATGGTGGAAGTCAGAGGGCAACTTTCGGGAGCCGGTTCTCTCCTTCCACCATGTGAGACCTGGGGATGAAACTCAGGTGGTTAGGCTGGTAGCAGGCCTCTCGGTCCTCTGAGTCATCTGTCAGCCACACTAGTGTTTGTGAATGTTTCTTTCTTTCTGAGCTTTTCTTCTCTTCTCTTTTCTTTTCTATTTATTATGTCTACAACATTCTGTCTGCACGTGTGCCTGCAGACCAGAAGAGGGAACCAGATCTCATTACAGATGGTTGTGAGCCACCACGTGGTTGCTGAGAATTAAACTCGGGACCTCTGGAAGAGCAGCCAGTGCTCTTAACCTCTGAGCCATCTCTCCAGTTCTGAGCATCTCTTTCTTAACAGTTATGCTAAAATTATATTAAAATATCTTAACAAGCTCCAGCTCTATTTCATAAAAGCAGAACCACAAACAAACCAAAGAGGACAACAAGGAAATACTAGGGAGAACTGTATGCCAACGGATCAGAGTCTTCCCACCAAGACAACGCAGAGAAAGCCCTGTGCCTCATACACTATTAAGCAGACTTAAGACAGACCTATAATAAGCAAAGAGGGACTTAGTACTCAACAACCCCAACAAAGGAAGGTGCCAGGGACTTCACTCACTGGTGAATTCTACTAACAAGTGAAGAAAAAGGAGCTGCATGCAATCCTTTCTGAACTCCCCCCAAAAACAGGTGAAAGAGAGAAACTCTTCCTGATTCCCACACTCGGCCACTGAGTGAGACCGGGGGCTGAAGCTAGATGAAGACTAGAGCATCTGTTTTTAGTTTTTTGAGACAGGGTTTCTCTGTGTAACAGTCAGTCCTGGCTGTCTTAGAATTCGCTTTGTAGACCAGGTTGACCTGGAACTCACTGAGATCTGCCTGCCTCTGCCTCCTGCAGTGCTGGATTAAAGATGTGTGCCACCACTGCCCGGCTCTTCATGTATATCCTAAAGCCAGCTGTGGGGGTGCATGCCTTTAATCCCAGCTTTTGGAAGGCAGAGGCAGGTGGATCTCTCTGAGTTTGATGCCAGCTTTGTCTACATGGTGAGTTCCAGAACAGCCAGGGCTTTGTAGAGACCCTGTCTCAATAAACAATGAAAAAAGAAACGAATATACTGCAAATATCTCAGCATGCAGCAACTGAACCCGTCAGGGCAGGAAAGGACTGCGATCCGTGAGCAGGTGCAAGGGAGCGCTGCTAAGGAAAACCGGCACACACTGATGGAATGAAGGGAAAACAGCCTCCATCTCTGCCGAGAGAGCATCTGACCCAATTCTACACTCTTTCACATAACCAAATCAGAATCCAATAGCCAGGCTGGCAGTGTGCATCTGCAATCCCTGTGCTGGGGAGGCGGAGACAGAAGGGTCTCTCTGGTTCACAGGTCTAGCAAAATTGGTGAGATTCAGGCGGGAGCTCTGCCTCAGAAAATAACAAACAAAACAACCCAAATGTGACCGCTTACCTGGTAAGGTGTTTATTTAGTTCTGTCCCCAGGGCCCACTTGGTGACAGAAGAGAACTGATTCCTGCTACTTGCATGCATGTACCCCTGCTCTAAATAGGTAAATTTAAAAAATATATGTTTTTATAGATGCACAAAACATGTATGAAATTTTATGTATGCAAAAAGCTAAGGTGGAGAGCAACCGAGGAAGACACCGAAGCCTCTGACATGGTCACATGAACATGCACACTTGTGTACTCATGGACCTGCACACACACATGAAGATGCACATAGCCCCCCCCCCACTCCAAGAAATACAAAATTCCGTGCTCTTTTGTGATAAAAGTACTAAGCAAGCTAGGATCCAAAGGAAACCCCCTCCACAATCCCAGTGCTGTGAATTCACATTTCCACTTCCACAAAGCCACAGCTAAATCGCACTCAGTGGTGAAAACCAAAATGCTTTCCTGCCTAGAGTCACAATGAGGTGGGGATGCCGCTTTTGTGCACAATATCATGGACGTTCAGCCACAGCAATTAGGGTAAGAAGGAGAAATTAGGGTTTGTGAGACAGCTCAGTGCAAACGCAAAACCTAAGGGCCCCGCCCACTCCCACTTAATGGAAGAAGACCAATTCCTTTTGTAAGTTTCTCTCTCTCTCTCTCTCTCTCTCTCTCTCTCACACACACACACACACACACACATACATCACACACACCACACCAGACATATACACATAACACACACACACACACACACACACATACAGCACACATATAACGCACGTGCACATGGAGTAAACGACATAGTTTGCTTGTTTTTAAAGAAAGAAATAAAGGCATTCAAGTTGGAGAGAAAAAAAGGTAAATCTTCAAGATGGGATTGTTACGTGAAAGAAACCAGATTCACAGGACCCCAAACTGTATTCCAACTGTGGGCAGTATCTGAAAATGATTGTTGCACGCTCAGAGAGCCGGGTCATGGTTGTCAGGGGTTGTAGGGAGTGAGTTAATGAGGAGTAAAAGTTGGGTGGGAATGAAGATCCCTAGTGTAACAGTATTGTGAACACCCTAAGTGGGGTATAGTCTTTAGGTGGTTCTATAACGGTATGTGAACTTAAAAAGAGAGAGAAGCAGTACCCACAAGCGTCACAAGGGGGCAATATGAAGACACTAATTACAGGAGAGAACCCCAGCAGAAAAAAGGCCATCTTCTCTGACCATCCAGGGGCAGAAAACAAATCCAGAGACAGAAAGCGGGCCTGGGCTGCCAGGGGCTACAGAAGCCGGGGAAATGCGGAGACTGAAAGAAGGGGCAGAGAGTATGAGGCTACATGTAGTCCTGCAGTCAGTGCAGCCTGGTCTCAAACTTGCTGTGCAGTCTAGACTATGGAGTCAAGGACAGACTTGAACTCCTGACCTTCCTGTCTTCAGTTCCCAAGTGCTGAGATTATACCACATTGCCTACCGAGGCTTTGGATGTCCTGGAACTTGCTCCGTAGACCAGGCTGACAGGCTTTCTTTTTGAAATAATGAAAATGTTGTAATTAGAATTGTTGACTGTCTATGGCCTCACCACTCGGAACGTGCCTGATCTTAGAAGCTACAGTGCTGAGGGGTCACCTGGTCAGGACAGCGGTGACAGTTTCCACAACGTTGTGGCCACACTACTGACCCCTGAACTACACGACAGAACTGTGCACGCTCATGTTTTGAAGTAAAGTAAATCTCAGGGTTAAGAAGACTTTCCTCACAAGGCCGTGAGTACTTATCCCGGCTGGTTGGGGATTGCAGGCCTGGCTAAGTAAGAGTCCCTCTCTTGCAGATCTGGCCACTGGACCACACCTGCTCTAGAGGAGAAGGAAGCTCCTTATAGGCCGGAACAAGGAGAAAGGCAATGAGGGGAGAATGAGAATGATGGGGGGGGGAGGCAAGGGGGGGGATGCGGGTGGGCAGGTGGGAGAGTGGGCAGGGAGGTGGGTGGGCAGGCAGGAGACTTGCAGAGCTCCAGAGGCCAGAGAAGGACTTTGGAACCTGTTATGGCTAAAACAGGGACCCACATGCCCACCCCTTCTGTCCCCAGTCTCACTCTTATTCTCCTGAAGGACTCCCCAGCCAGTCACCCAGCAGTCAGGCTGCTGCTGGAACACGAAGGTGGAGGGCAGCATGCAGACGGGCTGGATGTACTTGTTATAGGTGACCGAGGAGGCCAGCCTCAGCAGGGCCAGGTCGTGGAACCTCGTGGTGTCTTCAGAGTTTACAAAGATGTCCTTCACCCTGTACCGGCCAGAATAGGCCTTGCTGTCCCAGAGAGATGGTTTGGAAGTAAGCTGTCCAAGCTGGACTCTCCACTTTTTTGGATCAAGGTACCTAGCAGGGAAGGAGAAAGTGATCAGGACCCTCGGGAAGAATGCTGGTCCCCTGGGCCCCCTGGGCACCTGTGTGAGGGGGCACCACGGGGCCAGTACTACTTGTTTGCTCATCCCCAATCATTACCAAATCTTTCTCTTGGGTCTAAGGATCCCTTGTAGGAACAGAGCCTAGACCATGACCATGGTTCCCTGTTCCTGGGGATCAGAGGACCAGGAAGACCACTGTCCCCATGTGGTCTCATCACTTCCTAAGGACCCTGCCTGTACAAGTCCGAGAGGACTCAGAAGATGGAGGGGCTGTGGGATCTGGACAGAAGAGAATAGACATCTGGGACGGGGCTGGGGACGGGACTCAGGTGACTGCACTTGCTTAGCAGCGTGAGAATCCCAGGGTTTGAGCTCCAGCGTTGTACAGATCAGGCATGGTGGTGCATGCCTGTGATCCCAGCATGCCAGGGGGCAGAGCCAAGAGAACCATCCTCAGCGACACATAAAGTTGAAGGCCTTCCTGAGCTACCCACTTCAAAACGAGCCAACCAACCTTGGTGTGGGCCTAACATCGTGCTCCTCCTCCAAGGGGAGGGGGGATGAGGCTTGTGCCTTCCTGATTCGTTTTGGTTGGGGGCCGTGGGCACAAACGAATATACCCGCACCCACGTGGGAATGTTTCAGTAAACATCTTTCTCCACAGGGCAATGAGGAAGGTTATCTGATTGTAACCAGTTGCTGCTCAATTTGGAGCTCAGGATATCAGGAGGCTAGTTCAAGATCGTGGCTCTGTCTGGCCCCTGCCACCCCAGACTCACTTTCTAAAGCAGTGTGCAGCAGTGAGCACCCATCGGTGGCTGAGAAGACTCCCTCCACAGTGGTGGGACTTCTTAAAGCGCAGGCTGGCCTGCCATGGCCAGCGCCCTTGCACGGATTCTATCCCGCCCACTATCAGTGGCTTAAGGTCATTCCTGCGGCCACAAGGCACTGGGACAGAAAAAAAAGACACCCATCTGAGCTCTGAGGCAGGCCCGTAGCACCCCCAGGGTACACGTGTGTGGGAGGGAGGGTCTAAGGAGAACCGCACACCCATACACCCCTTCCTCCCGTATCCTGGGGTAGTGTCGAAGAGATGCCACCGGAGCCCTTCCCACAGGATTTGCAGACACCCAGCCCTCCACAGAGCCCATCAGTCACTTGAGAGGAGCTTGTTTGTGATGTTCTTGGGACCTGTGGGGGAGAAGTGCAAAAGATGAGGCCACCTCTGTATGCTCGGTCTCTGTAGGTGTTCCGCAAAGGGATTTCCTCACCTGACACCTTTGCGTCCCCCACCTTCCCTCATCCTCCCCAGTGCTTGTGGGTGCATCTCCTTAGCTCACCAGGTTTCCCTAGCGCCGTGCACACCAGCAACACCACCAGCAGCGGCATAGGGCCCTGCACACCCATGGCCGCTCCGCTGCAGTCGGGAGCCACGCCAGGCTCAGTGGCGCCCCCTAGGGGAGAAGCAGCAGAACGGGAGCCTTGCTTGGCTACCTTCTCCCGACCTGACCACGGATCGGGTCGCACAACACTCTTTAATGTGGTGCCTCAGCCAGCGAACCACAACTATCCTTTTTTGTTGTTGTTGTTTGTTTGTTTTTGTCTGAGCACAGGCGCTGGATGCCTCCCCTTGTGTACTGACAGCTTTCTCGAGGACCAAGGCTCTGGCCCTCAGCCAGCACCCCTAGGAGAGCTCGTGAGCAGGCCTCAGGGTACACTGGCTTTGAGTCTAGCACTGTGTTACCTGTTGTTAGAAGTGATGGCTTTTTGCTGGATGCACTCAACAAAGGCTGGCCCTATTCGAGGATAGACAAGTCTTAGAGCCCTGTACTCGGCCAGCTGCCGTGCACTATGCCCTACTCTCTGCATGGGGACCGCCAGAAACTTACTTTTTGAGTAAGGGCCTGCCTGGCAGGGCCAATGTAACCATGCTGTTTTGCCAGTTTTAAATGCCCAGCCAGCTGAGCATCCGTACCAAAACCCTCTGTCCCCACAGAACTCAGAGGACTTAATACGTTCATAGTCAAGGTTTGTACAATAAAGGTCGTTGGTCACAATCAGGCCTATGCGTCTAGATTTCTTCATCAGTCCAGACTAACGGACCACACTTAATTCTCCCAGTAAGGACCTTTGACTACCCACACAAAGTTAACCCAGTTACACAACAGCCAAGATCAAAGACCTGTCCACCAGAAGGACCTATTGAGGAGGCTGAGGCGAGGGCTGGAGAAGTCGCTCAGGGGGAAAATGCTGGCTTAGCTGCACCAGGGTCCTTGGCTTGATCTCTAGCACCATGGGGAGGAGCAGAAAACTGGGGTAGCTAATTTCAGGCGTCAGCTTGGCACCCAGTCACACAGGTGGTGTACAGACATGCATTCAAGTGAAATACTCATACACATAAAATAAAATAAAAAGCAAATTAAAAAATATATTTGTTTATTTTTGGTCTCCTGAGACAAAATTTCTCCGTGTAGCCCTGTCTGTCTTGGAACTCGCTCTGTAGACCAGGCTGGCCTCAAACTCACAGATCCTCCTGCCTCTGCCTCCCAAGTTTTGGGATTAAAGGTGTGTTGTTGTGCCTAGTTTCTAAAAACTATTTTTAACAATTTCTTTGATTTGTGTATGTGTGTCTATGTGTGTGTATGGTGTGTGTTTGGTGTGTGTGTATTGTGTGGTGTGTTGTGGCATGTGTGTATGTGTGTGGTATGTTTGTGTTGTGTGTGTGGTATATGATAGATGCTTGTCATGCGTGTATTATGTGTGGTGTGTTTGTTATGGTGTGTGTATGGTGTGTATGGTGTGTGTGGTGTCTGTGTGTTGTGTGTGGTACTTGTGTTATGTGTGATATATGGTATATCTTGTATGTGTTGTGTTCTGTGTGTTGTGGTGTATGATGTGTCTTATGTGTTGTGTTGTGTGCTTATTGTGTGTGTGGTGTAGTGTGTTTTCTGTGTGCTGTGTGTTGTGTCTGTTGTGCATGTGCAGTGTGGTATATTTTGTGTGTATATGTGGTGTATGATGTGTCTTGTGTGTGATGTGTGTGATGTGTGTGGTGTGTGTGTAGTATGTGTGTGCTTGAGTGCTGGAGAAGACCAGAAGAGGGCCTTGTATCCCCTGGGACTAGGGTCACAGCTGGCTTTGAGCTGTGTGACGTGGCTTCTGGAAACAGTCTCTGATCCTCTGAAAGAGTAGCAAGCACTCACTCCTGACTGCTGAGTCACTTCTCCAAATCTTCAATTACATTACAATTATTTATATTATTTATTAGTGTGTGTGTTGGTGCTTACGTGCTGCAGCACGAGTGCTGAGCTCAGAGGACAGCTTATAGGAGTTGGTTCTCTGCTCCCACTGTGTGGGTCCCAGGGCGAATGTACACCGTCCGCCCTGGTGGAAGGTTCCGTACTCTCCGGCCATCTTCCAGGTCCTCCTAAGTTAGTTTTGTCAGGGCATTTTCTTTTTAAAATCACAGCTCTGGGGGTCTCTGCAAACCCCAGGGCCAAGAGAGTAAGAATCCATGAGGGCCAAGAAGGAAATCCGGTTCAACACGATTCATTAGCCGGTGTTGGTTCAAACTTCTAGAGTCTGACCGTGGCAGTCTATTGCAGGCACAGTTAAGTACAGTAGTTGGGGAAGGTCTCCTGCTGTAACAATCCCCTGTGCACAGCGAGGCATAATCACATCAAAACCCTTCTCAAAGCACATGCCACTTTTCCCATGGAGATGTGTTCTCGAGACAGGCTGCATGGGTTACCTTACGGCCCTGGGGAGGATCTGGTGTGGTCTTGGTCATACAGGGAGCACAGAGGTTTAACAGATGTTATTTATATCCTGTCCTGCTTGTGAGATCCTAGGGGAGCCAGGTATGGCCTAGCCCTACAGAGAGCACAGGGGTCACCTAGACTATTAGCCACATCTATTCCCAACCTTCTGGGCAGAAGAGGTTATACGTCTATCTCTTCTGGTAAAAAGTCAACCCTGAATGGTTAACATTTCTGATTTTTCTAGTACTTTTCAGTGATCACAAGGACCTTTGTGCTCCCAACACAGAGCAACATAAAATAGATTAGGACAGCACCCAAAAGAGCTAAGAATTACTGGTAGAAGGCTTGCCTGGCATAGGCAAGGCTCTGGGTTTAACCCTCAGCATTGCAAAAAGCAAATACCAAGAACAAAGAAAACTGAGATACTATGTGAGCAACAGCCCTTTGGGAGTCTTCTAAATCCTACTTAGAGGTTTTTCTTTTCAGTTTTTTGAGACAGGGTTTCATTGTGTAGCCCTGGCGGCCCCGGAGCTCACTCTATAGACCATGCTGACCTTTAACTCAGAGATTCGCTTGTCTCTGCCTCTGGAGCGCTGGGATGAAAGATGTGTGCCGCCACTGCCTGGCTCCCCTTAGAAAGACTTGAGGGGCCTTTGTATACATCGAACAGGAATTACGTAGGGACAGAGCAAGGAGAGAATAGGTCTGGATAGACATGCAGACTACAACTTCTGGTTAAAACTTGTAGCAGAAGAGACGCACGGTAAGCAGACCTAGCTAAAGAAGGAAGTGTTAAGAGAAGCAGAGGTGAGGGGTGTGGAGCTGGTTCACTGGGGCAAATATTTTAAAAGGGTGACATCATGAAAGAAGGTTATGGAACATAGCTCTCTGGATTTGCATCGATCTGTGTTCAAGCCAGGAGCTAGGACTTGGGTCTCTTTGTATCACTAAGTCAATGTATAGTAAACATTTTCCACAATAGGGTCCGGGGAGATGGCTCAGTCAGCACAGCGATGCCTAATCTTGGTTGCCAACTTGATTACATTTGGAATTAACTTAAACTCAAGCAGCTGGGCACACCTGTGGGGAAATTTTCTTGAGCCTTTGAGGTGGGACTCAAGATCTGGGCCGCACATTCTGGTGGCAGCCCACACAAAAGGACATGGAAGAAGGGAGTTTTTGCTTTTTGCCTGCTTGCCTTCACGCTCTGTGGCAGGTTCATCTGTCCTGCAGCTGATGAATTTCTTTGCCAGTATTAGATTCTACTTCTTCAGGATGCCAATGTAGACTGAAGACCAGTGAGCCACCCATCCTCAAGGACTGAAAGACTACCGGATCCATGGCCTTTCTTTTGAGAGGCGGCAATTGTTGGGCTAGATAGACCACAGCCTGCAAGCCATTCTAATGACTATTCTTTCCCTTCCCTCCCCCATCTTCCCCTGTCCGCCCTGTCTTTCCCTGTCTGCCCCTGCCCTCCCTGTCCTTTCCTGTCTTACTCTCCCCTCCCCTCCCCTCCCCTCCCCTTCCCATCTCCTTTCTTGGGAAGTAATACGTGACTTTTCCTGGGAAAGAAAATAACCAGATGCCTATTTATCCAGGACAGGACGCCAACGGCAGACCAAAGAAAAGATTCAGTCCCAGCAAAGTCCAATGCATTGGTGGCTTTATTGAGATTATCTATGAGAACACGGGACACTCAAAGGCAGCTGCATAGCCAAAGTTCACCCTAGATGTGAATGACTCAATTTACAGGTGGTTCTGCCAGCTCTATAACTTTCCTCCCCTCAGCAACTGTTAGCTGCCTTTATAACCCGAGGGAGGGGTTTTATGGATCTTATTTTGGAACTCTCTGAGCCCTCCCCACCCCTACCCCGTGTGTGCGTATGCGTGCGTGCGTGTGCAGGTGCGTGTAGAGCCCAGAAGTCAGCCTCGGGTGTCATTGCTCATTCTACAGTGTTTATTCTCTTTCCTTCTTTCCTTTCTCCTCCTCCTCCTCCTCCTCCTACTACTACTACTACTACTTCTCTCTCTCTCTCTCTCTCTCTCTCTCTCTCTCTCCTTCCTTCCTTCCTTCCTTTCTTTTTTTGTTTCTTTCTAGATATATTAGATTTTATGTTATATGTTTGAGCGTCTCGCCTGCATGGATCTAAATGCACCACATGCAGGCGGTGCGCATGAGTCCAGAAGAGGGCAGCCGATCCCCTGGAACTGAAGTTACTGATGACTGTGAGCTGCCTTGTGGGCACTGGGAATCCAAGCTTGGTCCTCTGCAGTGGCACCAACTGCTCTCGACTGCTGAGCATCTCTCCAGCTCCCTACCCTGGTTTGATTGTTGTTTTGAGATAGAATCTCTCTGTGGAGCCTGAGGCTTGCTGATGAGGCTGGTCAGCAAGCCCCTGTAGTCTGTCTCCACCTCCCCAGCACTGAGATTACAAGCGTGTGCTGTCATGCCTGGCTTTTTATACACATGCTGGCCCTCAAACTCAGGTCTTCAAGTATTAACACCTTACTGACTGAGCTGTTTCCCCGGCTCTGTGTGTTTCCTAGTTTCCTTGGCTACCTATAATCCTCCCTCCTTTCTCTAGGAGGGAAGATTTCAATTCAGAGGAAATAGCTGTTACAGCAGCGGTGGTGGATGAACCCAGGGCCTCACAGAGGCAGGCAATGCTCTACCACTGGGCTGTATCCTCAGCTCTCCTTTTTCATTTTTTATTAAGATCGGGGCTCATTCCGCCTCCCAGGCTGGCCTTCAACTTGTGATGCTCTTGCCTCAACCTCTCAAACAGCAAGGGTCACAGACTGTACCACCACGCCCAACTCCAGCACCCTTTCTAGATAAAATTCTTACACTACTATACTCTCAAAAGTGGTTGTGAATCATGAAACGTCAGTCTCTTTTGCAAACACAAGAGTCTATCACACGGTTGGCGAACATATTTTCTATCTTAGTCTATCATATGGTTGATGAACATATTTACTGTCTTGGTTTATTGTATGGTTAATAAACACATTACTGTCTTGCAGGATTCCAGCAAGATTTCTGTATATCATCCAGTGAGTGCAGATGGGTGACAATATTCATACTTTTCCATTCTCCTCTAAATCAGTCCTTTCTTCACTCTTGCTTCTCTTCCCACTCTCCTCTCTGTCTTTCTCGGGGTCTCATGTAGTCCAGGTTGGCCTCTGGCTTAGCTGTGATGAGATCATGACCAGGGTTACTCTAAAAAAGAAAGTGTCTTAGTTAGGGTTATTATTGCTGCGATGAAACACCTCAACCTTTGTGGAGGAAAAGATTTATTTAACTTATACTTCTAAATCTCCGTTCATCACTGAAGGAAGTCAGGACAGGAGTTCAAACAGGGCAGGAACCTGGAGGCAGGAGCGGATGTAGAGGCCGTGGAGGATGCTGCTTACTGGCTTGCTCCCTATGGCTTGCTCAGCCTGCTTTGTTATAGAACCCAGGACCAGCAGCCCAGGGATGGCACCACCCACCATGGACTGGGCCCTCCCCCCATGAATCACTAATTATGAAAATGCTCTACAGACTTGCCTATAGTCTCATTTTATGAAGAAAGCGCTTAACTGGGGACTTACAGTTTCAGAGGATTCATTCATGGTCATCATGGTGGCACAGCACTGGAACAGTAGCTAAGTGCCACAGATAGCGAGGAGAGAGAGAGAGAGAGAGAGAGAGAGAGAGAGAGAGAGAGAGAGAGACTGGCCTGGTGTGGAGACCAAGCATTCAAATATCTGAGCCTATGGGGACCGTTCTCATCCTGACCACAGCAGCATCAAGCTCACTACTGCAGCCTAGGATGACTCTGAGAGATGGTTTGCTTGTCTCTGTCTCCTGGGTACTAGAAGTGCAGGTGTGTATATCCACCACACCTGGTTTTGTGGTGCTGGGGACCAAACACAGCTTCATGCATGCTAGGCAGTCATTCTATCAATTGAACTATACTCTAAGCCCTTGTTTTCTTTTTCTTTTAAATTTGAAATATATTGGTGAACAGAGTACACACAGGATGGGGATGGATGTAGGGATTTTAATACTGGATAAAACAGGATCCAGGACTAGTGTTTTTAAGCCTGAAGCATAAGGTTATTACACTGATTAAAGCCACACTGCTGCTGGTGATGTAATCACTGAGCATGATTTCTATTTCAACGGTGCATTTGGGGTGTTTGGAAGGCCAGTGATCCTTTCCAGGGGTAATGCCTTCATGGAAGGGGTTGCTTAGAGACAGAGTGGAGGATAACCAACAGAATAGAAAAGAAGTAGAGAGGTGGAGAAGACAAATACCACAGGAATCTGAAAGGGTGTCTCTATGCCTCCCGCTCCAGATCGATGCTGACAAGCCCTTCTCCTTGCGTAATGTCTAAGAGGGCCCCTGGAGCCAAAGAGCCAGGCCCACGGCTGCCCTCTGGTGGACACTGGTGGACAGCTTTTCCTGGTGACTTGGGGTGGGGGCTGGTTGGAACACGGATGACTGAGTGAGGCTTGGTTGGCCAGGACATCCTGGGAATCAGCTCAGGTCTATCTGTCCTCCCATCTCCTGGGGGTCCTTGGGACATGGCAATACAGAACAGAAGGTGGAAGTCCCTGGTTTTGCCCCTGTGGGGTTTGGTCACATCCTTTACCCCAGAGTCTCAGTTCCAGTGCTGTGGGGTGTGATCAGAAAAGCTCCTGAGGAGCCTGGGTGCATCCTGTGGTTGGCGCAGTGCCAGGCACACTATACACTGGTCCCACGTCAACAAAAGATGAGGGTTGCGGAGGCTCCGACTCTTGGATCGGGATGGGGAAGACCAGAGGACCCCACAGCATGCGGCATGTGGGGAGACCAGGGTCTCCGGGCCCAGGAGCAGTGCGGGTGTTATGCCTCTCCCAAGGCTGCAGGGCAGGTGTGGAGGCTGGCTCCACCCAGGGCGAGCCCAGAAACCACCACAGACCTGCAGTCACCTTCCTCCTTCCTGGAGTGTGTCTGGAAATCTCTGGCCTCCAGCAGGTATATCATGGAGCTGGTCCTACCTGCCATTCTATTTATCCTGTTTCCTGGAGCCCTGCTGGGGAGCGAGAACCCCACAACCGACTCCTACAGCTTGTCCCCTACACCAGACAGCACTAGCGTTCCCCTGGATTCTGGTAAGATGGGTGGGTGAGGAGCCGTAGCTTCAGGAAGATGTGTGGAATGTGCATTTTGTGGCTAGGATTTTGTTTGTTTGTTTGTTTGTTTTTTTAGTTTTCTTCTGTGTCTTTTAGCTTTTATTTATTTATTTATTTATTTATTAAAAATTTCCACCTCCTCCCCGCCTCCCTTTTCCCTTCTCCTGTCTTTTAGTTTTGAGACCAGGTCTCATTGTAGCCCAGATTGGCCTCTACTTTATTATGTAGTCAAAGCTGGCCTTCTACTGATCCTTATCCTCCTGCCTCAGCCTTCAAGTCTTGGGAATACAGGAAGGAGCCCCAACAGGAGCATGGGTTTAGAGGCAGACCCAGAGAGCTGTCTGACCCTGGTTCCTCGTGGCATTATATGAGCAGGTGCTGTTAGGGGCCAGGCATGGGGGCGTCCTCTGGCCTACACTGGTCAAGTTCCCAGGGGTTGTGACAGAATGAGCCAGGTCTGAGGGCATACGGGAGGGCAGAGTGGCCCTGTGTCACCCACTTCTGATTTTTTTTTCTGCAGTGTGTGGACGTCCCAGGGCTTCAGGCCGCATCGTGAATGGGCAGGATGCCCAGCCGGGCGAGTGGCCTTGGCAGGTCAGCGTGAGGGAGAATGGGGTCCACGTGTGTGGGGGCTCCCTGATTGCTGAGGACTGGGTGCTGACGGCTGCCCACTGCTTCAGTCAGTGAGTGTTTCCCTAAGGGTCACGCGGGCTGGCACCAGCTGGGCTTTCTCACATCCCTTCCAGATGCCCTCATCTCTCCATTTGGACTATAACCTCTACCTACTATGTCAGGAGACGAGACAGGGCTGTGTTCCTTCAGTACTGAAATTACCTGTTTCTGGGCTGGCCCTGCTGAGTCAATCACATAGTCTTATTTCCAAGAATCAACTCTTGGGTGGAGGGGAGGCTCAGAGGGTAGGAGGACTTGCTGTACAAGCGTAAGGCCTTGAGTTCAAATCCCCTGCCCAAATTCACGTAAAAAGCTAGGTGTGACCAGTACTGGGGGTGTGTGTGGAGATAGGAGGATCTCTGGGGAGGTTCTGTGATAAGGTCTGTCTTAAGGTCAAGGTCAAGGTCAAGGGTAATAGAGGATAGATCAGGGCATCTGACGTCAATTCTCTGCTTTCTACATGCACAGGAGCCTTCACACCCACCAACACACACACACAGACACAGACACCAACACACAGATACACAGACACGCAGGCACAGACACTAACACACAGACACACACACACACCAACACACAGATACACAGACATGCAGACACAGACACTAACACACAGAAACACACACCACACACACACCAACACACAGACACACACACCAACACACACACCAACACACAGACACATACACACCACACACACCAACACACAGACACACACACCAACACAAAGACACACACAACACACACACCAACACACAGACACACACACACACCAACACAAAGATACACACACATATACACACACACACACACACCACCACCACCCACACACCCCCACACGCACACACACAGAATCAACAGTTCCTAAAAACAGTTCTCTAGATCCCAAGGTCTTAGTGTAAGTATGCTTGCGTATGTGAGTGTATGTTCATGTGTGTGTGAATGTGGGCCCAGACACACTTCAGCCAGTGTGTGAAGATCAGAGGGCGACCTTGGGTGTCAATCCTTGCCTTCACTTAGCTTTGGGAGACAGGCTCCCTCTTTGGGTCCACTGATTCTCCTGTCTTCACCTCCCACCTCTCCAGAGGACAGGCTTGGCACAACTCTTATGTGGGTTGTGGGCTTCCAAACTCAAGTCTTTACGCCTGTACCACAAGTACCCTTGCACACTGACCCATCACCCCAGCATCTCAAGAATCCAAGATCTTGAATGTACTGCTCAACAGCCAGGCAGTCTTCCGATGGGTGGCATGACTTTGCTAGCTGTGTTCCATACTTGAAACATGGAGGAAGTGATGGTAGGCCTATGGGTTACAAGGACCATTAATGGTGGCCCTTAAAAGGGGGTGTTTGGCATCGCTTCCATGTGCTTAGCTTTCAGAAAAGCCCAGTGGCAATATTAGAGCCTCCAAATGAAGACTGTCTTTCCTTTTCACCCTTGACCTTCCCATTCTTCCTAGGGAGCAGCCTCTGTCTGACTACACGGTAATGCTGGGTACCATCTCCTCCTACCCTGGGCCCAATGAGCCCAAGGAACTGAGAGCTGTGGCCCAGTGCATCAAGTACTCGAGCTATTCAGAAGATGAGCACAGCAGTGGAGACATCGCCCTGGTGCAGCTGGCCTCATCCGTCTCCTTCAACGACTACATCCTTCCAGTCTGCCTCCCGAAACCTGGAGACTCCCTGGGCCCTGGCACCCAATGTTGGGTCACGGGCTGGGGGAACATTGCCACAAATACACGTAAGGATGATTGGTAACAGGGTAGGGGGAGAGTAGAATGTGTATTCAATAGGGCCAGCCTTGACACTTTCCCCAAGGCCAGCCCTCACCCTCAGACAGGATCCATATGGAGTTATGCGAAGAATGTCCACTACAGAGGGTGCATTGAAACATTGCCACAATAGCTCATCACCAACTGGCTGCTGCCAGCTCCCTAACATTTAATCCGCCTAACATTTAATAACCAGGATAGTGTTACAGCCATAACGGACTGAGGGATGCCGATCCAGTCTGCACTACAACCTTCCTGCTACCCTTGCTGCTTTGTCCCTTGTGGACAGTGCTTACCAGGGGCTAACTGGGCAGCCTCCACTATCTGATGGGGCCCTGGATCTCTTGTCAATGTGCTCTCAAGAGTGCTGGCCTGGTGGGGTTAATGCCGGAGGTCCATGGCCTGATGCCGTCTAAGGCATTTCCGTTGCGCACTATCATCAGCATGGCCCCCATCCCTGCCATCATAAGTGTGATCTTGTTTCAGTGTCCTAGGCTGATGGTAAACCAGATAGGTGTTCAGTCTCAGTTCAGGAGACCAGAAGCCTGAAATGAGAGTATTATCCGACCTCAACTTTTTCAGGGCTCTAGGGAGGACCCCTCTTGACTCTCAACCTCTGCCAGGGCTGGGTGATCCTTGATTCTTGGTTGCATCACTCCAGTCTTGGCCTTGGGGTTCACACAGACCTCCACTGCATGAGTCTCCCCAGGTCCCCTCTCTCTGTCTGTTAAGGGCCTCTCATCCTGCACATCTGCAAGTCTTCTGCTTGATGGCAAGGTTACATTCTGAAGTTTTAGGTAGATGTGAATTTGGGGTCACCTAATTTAACCCACGCGGCACCGAAGCCACCTTTGATTTGATATTTGGAATGCTAAGGAGAGCAGGGTCACGTGATGGATGTGACGTGACCACAGGCAGTGTCCTGAAACCAGCCATAGGCTCTTGCTTATTGTCTTGTGCCCTCACCCCGTGTGCATCCCATCCCATTGTCTTCACACTGGGAGAGAAGTTGAGACCCACAGAGCTGTCACACATCTGTCTGTCTGTGTGTCCAGCTGGGGGAGGAAGAACCGAGATCTCCCTAGCTTGTGTCTGTGAGGACAAATCTACGTTCTCATCCTGGGGTATCACCTTTTCAGAACATTCAGGATTTCATGTGGGGAAATACGGCTCTGTTTGAAGAAGCAGAAGAAATGGCCCCGACCACAGGGTTCAGTTAAACTGTGGAGCTGGGAGGAGATGGAGCATCTTCTTCCTCTAACTCTGTTCTCTCCCAATTCCAGCTCTCCAACCACCATTTACCCTGCAGGAGCTGGAGGTGCCTCTTATTGATGCCCAAACCTGCAATGCCTACTACCAGGAGAACTCCATTCCCAGCATGGAGCCTGTCATCTTTGAAGATATGCTGTGTGCTGGCTTCGAGGAAGGCGAGAAGGATGCCTGTAATGTGAGTCATACCTAGACAGTGGCCTCTCACCAGGAACCCCAGTGGGCAGGGCGTTCCTGTCCCATCACACCGAGACCCTTCCAGAAGGACTGGGCATCTTATAAAACAACAGTACCACTAATATCACCAACACACACACACACACACACACACACACCACACAAGAGCTCAAAAAGAAATCCCGATGCTGTCTCCCTTTCAAATAATCATATTTGAAGGGCTGGGAAGATGGTCCATTGTTGCATCACAAGTATAAAGAACTGAATTTGAATCCTCAGCATCCACGTATTAAAAAAAAAATAAAAAGCTGGGTGCGATAGCACAAATCTATAATGCCATCACAGGGGCTGGTGTGTGTGTGTGTGTGTGCAGCGGGACAGAGACAGGCAGCTTCCAGAGGCTCGCTAATCAAAATGCACATTCCTAAGCTCAGTTAGAGACCCTGTCTTAGAAAGTAAGGTGGGGAATGAGAGAGGACATCAGTGTTGACCCCTGGCCTCTATGTGCACACACAGGGAGGGGATGCACCTCTCCATCACATGCCTCACCTCTCTCAGATACAATAAATATCACCAGAGTGTGGGGGTGTGGATCAGTGGTAGAGTGTTTATCAAATATTTGAAAGGCCTTGGGCTTTGCCCTCGGTAGAGAAAGGAGAGGAC